CCCCAGGGTGAACCGGTACGGGAAAAACAGGCTGAAAGACCTCAGGTTTGGTGCAGAGCTTTGAGATCCCTGAGATGATGCAGAAACTGGGGATGAAGTAACTGCCATGCCACACGGTTGCTGCTGCTCCCAGTGCCGGGTCGGCTGAGCTGGGTCCTCTCCCCGCCATTGCCTTACTGGGAATTGCACACCTTGCCAGGAGAGACCTGACTTGCAGCTTGCTGTTTCCCAAGGAAGAGGCGTTTCTGCAGCCCAAAAGCAATGCTGTGCCTCACTATCCTCTGCCATTGTCCCCAGATGCCAGCCTGCCTCCTGCAACATGTCTCCGTGCCCACTGACCCCAGGGCCAGCCCCTGGTCCCCCCCAGCCATGAGATCAGTAGTTATTTTGCAATCTGGCTCACAGAGAAGCTATTCCTAAGGCATGGGCTTATGCTCACCCATCTAACTGCTGTGCTCAGAGCCCTTTCTCTGGGCAGCTGTTGGAGGAGACAATCTCAGGACAGGGACAAGGGAAGGTGACATCCCTGAGCAAGACCACAGTGGTGACCAGCTCCTCGGCTCCTCCTTTTCCCGGCAGTGCTGGGAAGCACCCCTACATGCCCCCAGCACTGCACCCCACGAACCCTCCTGCCCAAAAGGTGACATTTTCAGCAGCTGACGGCACCCACGGCCACTTGGCATCCAGCCCCCAGCTCACCCCATGGTTGCAGGGCTGTAGGATGCCTGAAGAGGGGGGTCCCCTTGCCATGCTGGGGGTGAACCTGGCACCCAGACTGCCTGCGCAGGGGATGGAGGCACAGCTGAGCGGGAAGGGGTTTCTCCCCCAGGGGTTTCCTTGTGTCGTGCCTGCAGCAAACCCTTCCCATGCACCCAATGCACCTGTGGAACAGGGACTGAGGGGTACACAGGTACTCGCATCGGGCCACCCCAGCCCATCCAGTGCAGCCTTTGCACCCTCCTTTGGGGCCAGGTCCCCGGGGAGGATGGAGTGTGCCAGGAATTGTGCCTTTTCCTCTCATCTGCAGACAGTCACAATGGTTAAGTGGCTTGTTTTTCATTAGGGAAAGGCTGTTGCTAGGCCACCCTAGTCCCTAGCATTGGTCGAGAAGGGTTTCTGCAGCCAATCCGGGAGGCCGTGCTGGCGGTTCGCACACGCACACACATGCACACATGCACACACACACGCACACCCCTCCTGCAGCCAAAGTGCTAAGCGGCTGCCAGATGTGCCTATTCATTTCCACATCACACCTATTCGCTTCTTCCGGCCAAGTGGGTTATTAAAACTCCTGAGATTTTAATTTATAGCAAGCTGTGAGTTTTCTGCCTTCTAATTTATGTTTGGGATGTAGAGGAGAGGGGCGATGGTGGGTGGGGGTACTGATGGGGCTGGGGCACAGGGAGGCTTGTTCCTCCCTCCGCTGCAACTGGTTTAGTCTCTGGTGAGTCGCCTGAGTGAAGTCTCTCCTCTCTGCCTGCAAACAGGGCAAATCATCCCTCTGTGTCCCCACAGCGAGGGGACAGACTGCCCCAGGATAGGGGCTTGCTCTTATTGTTATGAGGTGCTGGCATTACTCCACCCCTGGGCATCTGGGGCTTATGTGGCACTTCAGCCACGTGTACCGTGAGAACCAGAGCCACCATCAAAGCAAACCAGGTGTTTGATCAGGGGATGCCACTCCCAGCCATGGTCCCCATGCAAACAGCCCCCCAGCAGCCAGGATTGGTGCTGGGCCATGGCCAGGAGCTGTCAATGCAGGAGGGTCAGCCACATCCCTGGTGCAGGGTCCCCTGGTACAGCCGCTGTTTCAAACACCCTATGGGTATCTGACGCCAACATGAAGAAAACTGGGGACAATCCACATGAAACTCAGTTTCTGAGTGTCCCCCCCAATGAAAACCCCCATGTAGCAGGAGGGCGAGAAGTGGGGAGCTCAATAAAAGCAAGGGAAAGCATTGAATTACCATCTGCTTCTCAAGGAGAAGCTGTTGCTAGACAAAGGTAAAAGCCATCGCCATCAGCTCCCATTGGCTCAGCTCCTCTCCAGTGACGGGCTTATCAATTACCTGCTCTCGCAGCTGGCTGGAAAAAACTCATTTGACAATGTTTTCCCTCTGATAAAAAAGCCCATTGCTGGATTTGTGGGTTTGGGTTAATCATTATTCAGGGTTGTTGAGATAATGGCCAAGTTTTCTGCAGATTCTTCAATTATCACAAAATTTACTGTAAATGGTGAGCCAGAACAGGTCTTCTTCGCCTGCCTAAAGATGCTCAGCCTGCCTAAAGATGTTCAGCCTCCCATCATGAGCATCAGCAGGCCGCTCGAGTGATGAACCAGAGTGAAGGTTGGCTGCTTTCAGCCATAGCAACTCCCTGGCATGCAGGTGAATATTCAAAAACACCTGTGAAAATCCTGATTAGCTCTTGAAGGGTTCACTGGGTGCAAACAGCATGAACGTTGCCATTCAGATTATTCAGAACAAACATCACTTCGTAGGCAGGGAGCAAGTTGCCACCACCCCTCATCATCCGTGGTGGGGTTTGCTTATCAGCAACCCTGTCTTGGGAGGCTGGAGGGGCTGCAATGAACAATGTCAGGGCTTTTCCAGACCTTCAAATCTGATGTAAATGGGGATTGACCTCCCAAGATTTTTTTCTCAGCCTCCCCAGGAGCTGGAGATCATGGCACAGAAGCAGAGCTTGCAGGGCACGTGAACACCAAAGAGCAGCCGGCCTTTGGCTGCCTTGTTGCCTTCAAATCTCTCCCCGAAGCAGGGGAGGGTATTTTGGCAGGAGCGCTAAATAAGTGTGGTGGCACTGGGGACAAACTCTTAGAGGCAGCCTGGGACTTTCCCAGCATCTCATGCCACTGTGCAAGCCCGGAGCCGTGCAGGTAGGCTACGGGAGTTCTGCCATGGGCAGGGGGGGAAAAAGCTGCCCTGAATCACAGGGGATGAGTGCTTAGAGAAACCTGTGCCTTGCCTGGCGCTCAGCCCAGGCTTACTTTTGGAAGAGGGGCTCACTAAATTGTTTGGATGCTCAAAACTTCAGAAATGTTGGGGTTTGGTTTGGGTTTTTGGTTGGTGTTTTCTTTTTCTTTTTTTTTTTTTTTTTTTTATTCCCCTTAATTACGCCATCCCCTTGCCACTGGCTGACGGCAAGGCAGGCTGAGTCACAGGCTGATAAAGCCTGGTAGCCTTCCACCTCCTTTTGCAGCTTTCTTCAGCCTCACCCCAAAACACCTGTGTCTCACATCAAACCATCACGTAGCTTAGAGCAAGTCAGTGCTATGGGGTGGTAAGACATGGGGGGCTGAGGGGACAAGCTGGGAGCCGTGGGGTACTGCATGCAAACTTCCCACTAACTGATGTACTCCCTGAGGGGATGCAGTTATATGGGCTAGGTTATACGGCCACAAGCATCCCTCCACTGTGCCCTTCCTCCGGGTCTGCTTTCCTGGGAGCAGAAGACAGCACTGCTGCATCAGCCTTACCATCTGCTGACCCGCCGAGCTTTCACCTTTCCTAAAGCTTTGCTTGTCTCCTACCACCCCGGGAAAGGTGGAAGCAGCAGGGAGGAAACAGAGAATAACCTGTGCCAGCTGTGCTCCTCCTGTACCCCCCTGGGTGCCGCCATGGGGGTTCAGGTCTCTCCCATACCCTGCCAGGTCCTGCTGACATTGCACAGCATCATGCTGGGGCTCAGCTGTGCTGCATCCTGAGGCTCACACGGAGGTTGGTGCTGGCTGTGTTTTACAGCTTGCTGCATCAGGAACACGCCTGGGACAAACGGGCACAAGCAGCATTTAAAGACCTACTGCGAGGCCATGTTTCCTACCAGGTCTGGTGGAAAGTGCCTAGATCACGAGCTCACGGCACAGCCCAGGTTATTATTATTTCTCTTGAAGGATGGTTGTGCTTGGGCCATGGGGAGGGCAAAGCTTTTTAGACACAGCTGATGCTGCAAAGCATTTCTGAGCTGTCCCCCGGCTTCCTCTGCCGGGCAGGGAGGAGTTAAGATGGGAAGCGCAAGATGCGTCTTGTAACAGCACTGATGTGTGCGTCAGGTATGCCTGCGTCACCCGGCTGCCTTGGCCGCTTCCCAAGGCTGGGCCTGAGCTCCCCTTCCCTCCCCCTGGCCACTGGGAAAAGCCTGGGACCCATCCAGCCTGGCTGCAGGGGATGTGGTCTCCATGTCAGTGTGGCTGCTGTACCCGCTGTGCTGTACCCGGGCTCCCCAGAGCCCTCCAGCCCCCTCCCATCTCACAGACCAGGCAGTGGGATTGCGGGACCCCTGTGCTAAAGGGGTGGCTTCAGCCTTGAGGCACCCGGCAAAAAAAAAATATCAATTTTCTGTAACAATTGCGGTTCCCCAGGGAGGTGTGTGACTCCCCACGTTCAGCCCCAAACCGCGCCTCTGGTGCTTGCACACCCGGCTGGGGTGCATCTGTGCAGCCACAGGTACCTACATATGTCACCCAAGAGGCAGCAGCCTGCGGGCAGAGCCACTGCAGGTGACCCTCTCCCCGTCCCCACACCATCACAGCAGCCCACACCACAGCTGAGCATCGTGCCCACCCCTCAGAGCAGGCACAGCTCTCCCTCCCAGACTCTGCGTGCATCCCTGACTTGTGGGGTGGGCAAATCCCAACCCAGGCAGCTCCCGGAGCTGGGGCAGCCCGGCTACTGGAGGGTGACATAGCAGGATGCTTTCTCTTGCACTGGGTTTTCTCCAGGCAACCGGCAGCACTGGACCACAGGGCTCTAGCTGAGCCCATCCCCTGCTGCTCCTGCCTTCACAGGGGTGTCCCCAGAGCAGAGGGGACCAACCCCAAGGAACTGCTTACTCCAGCCACCATCAGGCCACTCAAAGCACCTTTTCTGGCTGTAGGTGGGTTTTAAACCCTGGCATGGCATGGTAGACATTGCCAACCTCATCCCTGCCCTCTCCTCTCCTGAAGAGCTGCCAGATGAGATCATGCAGTACATACACAAGGGTTTAGCTAGAACAATTTTTAATTCAGAATTGGACAATTATGTGAATGGTCTAGTTGAAGTGCATTCTATGCTCTTGTCCATGCTGGACACTGATTAGATCCAGACTTTCTTTTCAGGCTTCACTGTGCAAAGAAAGTGAGGAGGAAACTGCTTAACTGGCCTCAGATGGTTTGCAGCCTTTGGGCATCAGTAAGACACCTCAGTCCTCCCCCAGGAAGGCCCACTGCTGCAGCCATCACACCCCCATGGGGGCTCCTCCAGGCTGACACCAGGACCCTGCTCACCCCTGAGCACCAAGTGACAGGTGACCACGGCGCAGCCATCGCGCTTATTTCTGTGCAATACCACGAGGCTGCAGACAGCATTTTTGGGAGACTGCCGGTGTCCAAGTGTTACCATTTGTCCATCCCTGAGCAGGGCTGGGGGTGTCCGACTCCCCTGTGCTGCTGCCCACAGCGGGGTTGGGTGCCGGGCAGAGCCCATGAGGCACAAGCCCTGGGAAGGAGGTCAGCAGCCATCTCCACCTTTAATAGCCGAAGGCACCAGGATGGCCTGAAACATGTGGAGGAGACACTGTCCCCCATCACAGGCTGCTTGCCATCAGGTCTGTGGGCCAGTACTGGTCATCCATGTACTGGCTGCTGTCTGCGGTGGGGTCTGTGACGGGGCTTGGGGGCCGGGGGGGCATGCTATGGGCCAGCTCCATCTCCCACTGCACCTCCACCAGTCTGTACAGCTCCATGGCTGTCTGAGCATCCTCCACCGATGAGTGCCCTTTGCAGCCGACCTGAACAAAGGGAGAAAAGCCACGTTAGATAAAGAGGGCAGCAAAAATCCCACGTGTCGTGTCTGCTTGCTCAGGATACAAGTGCAGGGGGTTTTGGAGATGGCAAAGGTCCAACGCAGCCAAGGAGATGCAGACATCTCTTGAACACTTTCTGGAGGGCACAGATCCTGCCCTTGCTTTACCGAGATGCTTAATGTTCAGCTTGAGGGGTCCTGAGCTCCCCCAGCTTGATCACAGAAGCACAGGATGAACAAGGTTCATCTCCATCTCACATAGAGCAGCCATGGAGATGGGGGGGACACAGGCTCATAGCAAACCCAGGAACCCCTCCCCATCTCAAGGTTTCTGGTGCTTACCTGGATCTTTTTCTGGAGCAGGTGCAGGGCCAACCTCTTGAGCGAGACGATGGCCCTGCTGGGCAGCCCTGCCCTCTGATTCAGCATGGGGATCCGGCTGGTGTCACGAGTCCTGTCTTTTGGATGGAAGTACTTCAGGGCTTGGAAGTCATGGTGGATGGCGTGTCCTACTACAATCTTGTCTTTCAAGATCTTCAGGATCTGGAAGTGTCAGAAAGGGTTAGACAGGCAGTACAGCAAGAGACACCAATGAAGCATAAAATAAACCATTTTGTGTTAAATTCCGTTTCCTCAGTTCTAGCTTTTTGTCGTGGTTTGAACCCGGCTGGCAGCCAAACACCACGCAGCTCACCCTTTCACTGCTCAGGGCATGGGGGGAGGGAATTGGAGGGGTAAAGGGAGACTTGTAGGTTGAGATAAACACAGTTTAATAATTGGAATAAAACAGTAACAGGAAGTACAAATGGGCAATGCACAATGCGACTGCTCACCACCTGCTGACTGATACCCAGCCCATTCCTGGCTAGCAATCCTGAAACACCAAAATCCCGAAATTACAATCCCAGAAGTGAAAGGGAACCCCCTCCTTCACAGACACCCCTCCTTTATATACTGAGCATGACGTTACATGATGTGGAATATTTCATTGGCCAATGTGAGTCTGGTGCTCTGGCCGCGCTCCCCCCCTGCTTCTTGTGCACATGCACACGGGCAGGCCACAGGGAGTTGGAGAGTCCTTAATCTCTTGGCAACAACTGGAAACATCAGTGTATTATCAGCATTCTTCTTGTACCAAATCCCATCCTGAATCCAAAGCACAGCACTATTTAGCTACTAAGAAGGAACATTAACTCTATCCCAGCCAAAACCAGGACACTTTTACCTTCCCAGAATAGAGAAGTAACAAGCAAACCAACACACTGCACAGCTTCAGAGGCTCCCCGTCCTGTGCTTGTGTCTGTGCCTCAGCACAGGTCACTAAATATCCCAGCTGGCATCTGGCAGGTAACACACTGACTTTTTTTTTTTTTTTCTTTTTCTTTTTTTTAAATTTATCTCTTTTTCCTCACCTCCCCCTGGGCAGCCTTAAAAGGAATTGCACCCTTCATGTGCTCCTTAGTGATGCCGCTCCAGCGTGTCCGGTAGTCCACGATGGGGAGCTCGGGCTGGACGTACTTGTCGTAGATGACATCCCCCTCGTAGTTCACCACAGAGCACCGCGCCAGCTCGCTCAGCCTGCCCTGGGGACCAGTGCCCACCATCTCGCAGTCGATAGCCACGTACTTGCCCGGGCGCAGGAGCGTGGAGGACATCCGCACGCGCTTGGAGCTGCCCTTCTTCTGGGACAGCAGCACGGAGTGGTGCCTGGCTATGCTATCCGGAGAGGCGGATGGGGACAGGGATGGGGACACGACCTGTTTGGGCTTGGGGACCTTCCCGCAGCGCGCTGCCGTGGTGCCAGCTGTCTTGGTGGCTGTGCTACGTCCCTCCGGCCCCGCCACGGGGGTCTGGCTGCCTAGGCGTCTGCGGGGGTTCAGCAGCCCCTTCTGCTCCAGCAGCGCCCTGCGCTCCATGAACCGCTGGTGCTTACGGCTCTTCTTCTTACCGCAACCCTGCGTTGAGCCGGGACCCTCCGGGGGCTGAGCGCAGCCCCCCGCGGCGGGGCCATGGGTGACCTTCGGGGCGGGCAGCAGCAGGCTCATCTGGCCTTTTCCCGGAGGCATCCCTGCCGGAGTGGGCACAGGGGAGGGGGGCATGAGTGCCCCTGCAGCCCTCATGCCCCCCCCGGTCAAAAGTGCCCACACACCCCACAGCAACAACCCGCCTTCCGCGACGGACACCCCCCCCCCCCGCCCCGCCCCCCCTCGCACGGTGTGGGCAGTGCGAACACGGGACACGTCGTCGCACCTTGTCCCCACGCCACCGCCCCCTCATTGCCCGGCCCCACCCGCGGTCCCAGGGCCCCGCGCACCCCCTTACCGATCCGCAGCCCCCTGCCCACCCCATTATACGCCCCCGAGGGCCCTGCCTGCCCATTACGTGGGCCCTCCCCACCTCACTCCCAGCCCCAGGCCCCCGCCAGCCCCATTACCCGCCCCCAAACCCCCACCCGCCCCACTGGCCACCCCCAGGCCCCCGCTCGCCCTCGGCCCCCCCTCCCCCGCTCGCCCGGGACCCACCGGGACTCGCCCGCACCCGGCGCGGCTCCCACGTGTCTCACCCGGAAGCCGCCGCGCTCACATGCCCGGGCAAGTCCCGCCGTGACCACGCCCTCTCCGTTTCCCCATTGGCTGCGCGGGGAGGGAGGGGGCGTCGATTTGCATACGGGGAGGGGCGGTGCCCGCAGCCGCGGCGGGGCGGGGCCGCCGCCGCCTCACTATAAGGCGGCTCGGTTGTAACGCGGGGAGCGTTTATACCCCGCCAAGACTTGGGTTTTTGGCCCGTCCCACCTCTACGCCTGGTGGGAAGGGACCGTTCTGGATGGCGGGGTTGGGGATGCACACCGAGGTACTCACCCCCTGCGCCCTGGAGCTCAGCCCAGCACCGGTGCGCTGCAGATTTGCTGGGGTGCAGTGCTGATCCTGTCAGCATCCCTTCTTCTGCCAGGGACCCTCGGGCTGCTGGCTGGGGCAGCACCGCCCTTGCAGGGCGGGCTGAGGCGCCGCAGCAGTGGGTTGGCATCCTCAGGGCTCTCCCGGGGTGTTCCCCGGGGTTGCGGGGGGCCAGGGTGCAGGCGCGGGGGGTTTCAGACCTGCCTCTCGTTGCTTCGCTCTCGAGGCTCACAAAAGCAACGGCCGAGGTGGTCAGAAATGGAGAAGGGCCACAGGCAGCCCCGGTCACCAGCTCGTCCCCGTGCCTTGAGCATCGCCAGAGGGGCCGTGCGCCCTAAGGCAGACTGTGACTTGTTGTGGTGGGATGAGCCATACAACAACAAAATCACTAGTCTTCCAGAGGGAGCCAGGCACCGTGTCTGTCCTCGTCCCGCGGGCCCCACGCTGAGCTTCCCCTCTCCCTGCCACCAAGGGGGCTTAAGCGATGCGGGGATGCAGAACAAGTGTTTTCACACTCTGCTATTACCCCTTTTCATCACTCATGAGCTTTTTCTGCCTGGTCAGAAAAAAAAAATTTAGATTACTCTGCAATTTTTTTATTTTTTTTTTTTTTTTCCCCCTGGCTTCTTAAACCTGTAGCTCTGTGTTTTGCATATATTGCTTCTGTCCCTGCTGTTCAGCTAAATAATTCCTCTAATAAGAGTAGTTCAAGTGTCCCACACTAACTTTCTAGAGAGCCCTGGCTGGTCTCTATGTAGAAATTGTCTTGGTTCCTGGCATTTTTGGAGAAACCATGCAGCACAGCTCTCAGGGACAGTTCATTTGGGGTTCCTGAGCCACTTCGCCCCATTTTTCTCCCACTAAGTGACTGTGTGAGCTAATCATCACTGCACAAGTGGGAGCAAGCTTGAGCCCCTGTGCAAGAGAAACAGGTTTGTGTTGCCCGTGGCATTTCTCCACCGGATCTGGGCGGGCGAGGAGGTGGCGTGTCCCACTGCTTTTCTCCCTCATGCCCTGCAGTGGGGTGGGAGATTCAAGTGCCTCAACCGTTTGGTGCATCTTGGCTGATATATTCTCCCTGGACACGTTGCTGTTGCACTCGTGGGTCTGATCAGTCTTGGCTTACCCACAACAAACCCATCCATCTCCTCTCATCTTTGTTTGGTGACACCTTCTTTCCCAGGCTTTATGTTTTGGAAGGGGCACACATCTCCCCTTGGCAGTGTGAAATCTTAGCTGTACTGTTGTGATTATAGAAAAACCTCAACAGGAGAAAAATTTGGCATATGAGGAGGAAGAGAAAAGCTTTTTCTGATTCCCCAAGGCCACGATAGACCAGGCTGCAAAGGAACAGCAGTGTAATTTTTGTCCACTATCCCAGATACAAGGATAGAGGTGGAAAAAAGTCAAAATAGTTTTAAATGGACCCATCTGTGTACCATGGCCTCCTGTGTTCCTGCTGACCTCTGGGTTACCAGAAGGCGGTCCTCACATCAACTCCAGCTTCAACTTCTGCAGGGAAAAAACAGCAGCAAAGGAAAAGATGCAAACAAGGTGCAGAAAGTCAGGGGGTAAATGCAGGCAGTGGCATTCCTGCTGGGATCTGCACTGGAGCCTGAAGGGAGTTACAAGCACCAAGGGAGGACCTTGGCCATGTTAAGGGTACGGCTTGCACCCACTCCCCTGGGAGAAGCCTTGTGCCCAGTGGGGATGCTGCTTGTCTCCACAAGGTCTTGTGGACTCACTGGGGGTGGAGAGTTTGGCAGCAGATGGTGGAAATCCCATTTCGGATGTGGCAGATGAGCCGAGAGCTGAGATGAAGGCAGAGCGCGCCAGAGCCCGGGAGAGGTTTCTGTGGTGTTTGCACAATTTGAAATAATAACGAAATCTGTAAAACTCTGGGTAGAGCACGACTAGAATAACAGGCTAAATTTGTCAGATGAATAATTTACTATAAGTGATTGGCCCTGCTCCAAGCAAGATGAGCACCAGCCTGATCTCAGGCAGAACAGCCTGGGTGGCTCTGTCCTCAGCTCAGAGCTGGTCCCTCTCTTGCCACTTGGTCCCTGCTCCTGCAATAACAGCCAGTCTCCAGCCAAGGTGCCTGTCCCCAGGTCATCGCTGCCTGGGGCTTCAGGGCCTCCTGCAGAGCTCATGGACCCCTTGTCTGTGGTTTATTTTCAAGGTGCTACTTTGCAGAGCAGAGGTGATGGCAGCGGGTGTCTGTCACAGGCTCCGGGCTCATGGAGTCACCTGTCCTCTTCCTCTTTCCCTTCTCCAGCTGATTCTCTGTCCTCAGCTGCGGTGCTAAGCGGATGGAGGAACAGAGACATCTTGACATTTGGGATGGGAAGGGAGATGAAGTCCCAGCACTGGGAGGAGATGGCGGCTGCTGCAGCCAATTAACATGATCATGTTTATGAATGTCGATCAGTAATTCCAGGTAAACTCCCTGAGAGCAGTGCTGCCGGCAAACAAAGCTTCCCGCCCGCCCGGGAGCCCGCCGGTTGCCAACGGTCCCTGCCAGAGCCAGCACGTTCCTGCTGTGACTCTAAACTGCCTCATTTCTCAGTCCCAGCCTGGATATGGCTCATTTTGTCTCATATTAGCAGAACACTGGAGCTTGAGCCCGTCTTTGCAGGGCTGATTGCACCCATTCCCACCCCAGACCTCTCTGCCTCCTCTCTGCTGTCCATGCTGGATGGCTGATGGGAACGAGAAGCTTGGGGATAAGGTAACTTGGAGAAGGCAGCAAGGACCCAGCTTTGCCTCCACGGGACATGAGGGACTGCTTCACCTTCCTGGGCTTTGCTAGCTGCACAGTGCCTCCCCATCACTCACCCGTGGGTTGTGGCCCTCCATGAGGGCTCCCTTGAGCTGCTCCCATCACTCCAGATAGGATTGTGACTGGGCTGGTTTGTGTCCACCGGCATCTAGAAGATCAAACAGAAGCTGGGAAGCTACAGCAATAGGTCAGGGCAGTGACCAGTCGCTTGCTGGACCTGATTTCCTTTAGAGAAAGAAGGTCTCATCATGAAGGGAGCGCCTGGAAACACCACCACCATCCTTTGGTGCAAGGGACTGGCTCGGGCAGCCGGAGCCACCTAGCTGCAGATGTCACCAGCTGCTGGTCTGAGGTCACCAGCGTGATGTCATCAGAACAGACAGGCACCATGTCACTCCCTGGCCTTTGCCATGATGGGGCTCGGGGTGCTGCAACCCTCTTGCCCCAGAGCAGAGGTCCAGCACAGGGGTGCCCCTGCGACCTCTCCTTTGCCATGCCCCAGTCCTCTCTGAAGAGGGCAAAGTGGTTCATTCTCCAATGCTTGTCCAGTCCTTGGCTTCTCCGCTCAGTGGAGCTGGGCTGGGATTGAGCACGTGTTTCAGACTAGTGCTCAACCACCTTAAACCTGGAGGGCAGGAAGGCAAGAAGTGTGTGAATGTTAACATTGGCCGCAGGGGCCAAGGGTTTCTGCAGCTCCCATCAGTGAGGATGTTTGTGAAGTGAGGAATATCCACAGGGTTTTGGTCAATGAGTTCATTCCTCATTTCTGCTTTACATCCTCGATGCTTCAGCCGTAGCAGTTGAGTTGCCCATCCTGAGCCCACCTGTGCAAAACCTCCAGGAGACCATACCCCTTCTGGCTAAGGACAGGGACAGACTGGGTACGACAGCACTTGCCCAGCCCTGAAGACTACTCAGTGCCAGCAAGTCCTGCTTGGAAGGCAGAAAACCTTCTCCTTTCCCTTGGAGCTCCAACAGCCTCCCTCTTCCTCTGACACTTCCTCCACTGCTCTGTAGGAATTGCCTGTTATCCCTCCAAAATGGACAGACCTCCTCCTCCCTCCTCAGTCATGTCCTGGTGGGTGCTGATGCTCCTGGGGATAAGGAGGAGTGCTCCCAAAGCAGGAGGGAGGGCAGATGATGCTGCCATATAGCTCCTGTCTCACTCCCCACTTTCTGGCTCGCCCCCAGGAGAGCAGTAAGCAATTACAGGCCACGCGGAATCTTCATTATCGCCCTGTCGTGGCCTCATTTGACAAGACATTTTATTGCCAAACTTATTAAAAGTGAAACGTGCGGTTTCTGCGCAGCAATTTCCTGTCTGCAGCGATAAGCTGGGCTCTGCCCGCTGTGTAATAAACAGTTATTTTTATGTATGGCTCTGGCGAGGACGATGAGGAGGAGAGAGGGCCTGACTTGTGTTAATTGAGATGGTTAATGAGATCTATTTTGAAGAGTGATGTGTGAGGAGGTGCGTGCCCCCACTCTTCCACCGCTCTGTGGTGGAGGTGGCCTCTGGTGGCTTCGTGCTTTGGGTGCTGGCAACAAGGACTGTGCAGGGGCTCCTCCCTGGGATGCATGGGGGCAGCATGTCTGGAGGGGCATTAGTCTGAAACCCCCTTGCCTGCCTTGTCTCAGCTGGGAGCAAGCAAGGGACCTGCTGTGCACCCCCAGGACGTGAGACTCCATCCCCTGCAAGGGCTGCCCCTGGGCTCCGCTGATCCCACCCCTGCATGATGCTGGACGGAGCCCCAAAACCTAGGGGCTTTGTTTCAGCTTCCCCAAATCCTCCCCTCTGCCCAAGAACCACCCCTTCTGCAGCAGTATTTGCAGGTGATGCTGGTGGCCAATGCCCAGGGCATCCACCATGTCACCTCCCTCCTGTCCCTCCTTGGGTGCCTGCAGCAGTTG